ATGGTGAGAGGAAACTATGTCAGAGATGGGACAGGTTTTTTGTTGATGTTCTGGGCTACCCTGTAAAGAAAACTTCAGCCAGGGTGGCCAGTGGGTTATTCGGGGTGGTGAACTCTTTAAAAAGTAACTTTCCCCATCTCTTTCTAAAAGAGAATAAAGGATATACAGTATACGTAGGTATACCCATAGCAATCAAACTTTTGCAACAACTATGTGTGCCAAATATGTGGTGGTAGCGCAGTTCCTGGATCACAAGAAAGAAATGAACTTCATCTGTGTGTTCCTACAGGCCAACTTGATGCCTGATGATCTATTTGTTTATTATTATTTTTTGATTGATTTTTATTTATTATTTATTTATTTTCATTTCTAAACCATCTGTCTGACTAAAGGTCCCTCTGGGCTGTGTACAACAGTAAACTATATAGGCAAGTGAACAAGTAAATACACAATAGAACAAGCATGTTCTATGGAATCAGCGGAGGACGTTTCTTAACAAAACAGATTTAGAAATTCAGTTCCATGTTGAAATTGCATTTAAAGCAGCTGGCAATTATACATGTTAGGCTTATAGTCTCAGCAAGCTATTAAAATGATGTATTTTGGAAAGCCTGCTGGAATAGAAATGTTTTCAGATATTTCTTACAGATCTCCAGAAAGAGGTCAGGTGAATTTCAGGTAGCAACTCATTCCAGAGCTGAGGAGCAACCACTGCAAAGCCCCATTTCTTCGTTTTCTCTTTCTGGGCCTCCCTCAGGGTTAGCATCCTCAGCCACCAGCCACCTAGCCTGGGTTGCACAGGTAGACTGGGCAGTACCTGTTGGAAGTAGGTGTGTTGCTATGTACTGAGGTCTCAAACCATTTAGGGAATTACAAGTCAAGACCAGCACCATTTAGTGCATCTGAGCCGGGCAGAGAAAAAAAATATCTGGGGAAAGGTAAATGAGGGTTCCTTGTTACATATGGCGAGTGCTACTTTGTAAAAGCAGGCACTGATGCACCCTCTTGATCACTCATCTTCGAGTAAATGGAAGTTACTCTTGCCTCCTGGGAGAGAAAAACAGAGCACTCACCTCTGAAGCTTTCTATCAGACCTGACATTAAAGGTAATGTGTTGAAAGGGCTTCGGAAAATATTTGCCAGTGCAGGCTCTGCTTGTGTGTGTAAATATGCAGTTTCGTGCTCAAAGGGCTATTTGTCAGAGTGTTTGCTGCAGCTTTCTGCAAGGAAGGAGACCACGCATGCAAATAGAGCTCCCTCCCTCCCTCTTCACCAGCAGTTCTTTGGAAAAGGTCATTGGGAGATGGTATAAATCTCAAGATCCAAAATGTGGATCTTTTCCTGTGACAGAATGTTAGTTATCGTTTCCTGAGATCAGTTCTCTAAGAACAAAAAGGGGACATAAGAGTGAGGCCAAATGGCTGAAAATGGGAGGGTGGACAAAAGGAAGGAAGGAAGGAAGGAAGGAAAGGGAGGAAAGAAAGAAAGAAAGAAAGAAAGAAAGAAAGAAAGAAAGAAAGAAAGAAAGAAAGAAAGAAAGAAAGAAAGAAAGAAAGAAAAAACTCACCTTCAAACAAACAAGCAAGCAAGCAATTCTTATAGGCATACCTGAAAGAAAGAAAGAAAGAAAGAAAACTCACCTTCAAACAAACAAGGAAGCAAGCAGTTCTTATAGGCATATGTGAGTTAGTACTGTTGAAACAGAGCATCAATGTATGAAGTAAGTCAGCTAAACCAGTAGGGGGCAGTGTATGAGTGGAGTTACATAGATTTTAGTCTGATTTTCCCCGTTTAATTTTTAGATATTCATACAGATTGATAGCCTTAGGCTTCCTTCCTCCTTCTCTCTTGCTGGTAGTTTTGCTGAGCCAGGTATCTCCCATCTTGTAACTGCGCAATTGGATTCTTTTTCCGAGGTGCAGTACTTTGCACTTATCCCTGTTTAATTTCATTCTCTTGTTTTCAACCCAGTGCTGAAATTTATCTAGATTTTGTTTTCAGCCCAGTGCTGAAGCTTATCTGGATCATTTTGAATTTTGTTTCTTCCATGGTGTTAACTATTCCACCCAATTTTGTGTCACCCACAAATTTGATTAGCTTTCCTGTATCCCCTGATCCAGGTCATTAATAAAAATATTGAATAGCACTGGGCTAAAACATTGAGCACATCTATCTTTTATTTCTCTTTTGTTTTCTTCTTCTTCTTCTGGGTAGGAGGGACTTTTTCAGACTAGGATGACTGTCAAAACTATCCAGCATTAACCAATTGCTCCCTCCTGCTTCTGAATTCAAAGAGAGCCCCAACTTTCTTTTCAGTGTTCCCCCCCCTCTAGAGTCTGTTTAGTGCTGTTTGATTTGTTTCCATTAACCAATTGCTCCCTCCTGCTTCTGAATTCAAAGACAGCCCCAACTTTCTTTTCAGTGTTTTCCCCCTCTCTAGAGTCTGTTTGATTTATTTCATTTGAAGTAATGAAAACTTTTATTCTTTCTCCTACTAATATCTCAGTCAGTTATTGAGACTGTAAGGGGGTGGTAGTCTACTTTGCAGTTTTGCTCTATGAATCCTTGCACTTTGCTCCCTCCTGCTTCTGAATTCAAAGACAGCCCCAACTTTCTTTTCAGTGTTTTCCCCCTCTCTAGAGTCTGTTTGATTTATTTCATTTGAAGTAATGAAAACTTTTATTCTTTCTCCTACTAATATCTCAGTCAGTTATTGAGACTGTAAGGGGGTGGTAGTCTACTTTGCAGTTTTGCTCTATGAATCCTTGCACTTCTGCTGTGCAAGTAAAGGAATTTAACCAAAAAAAATAAATTCAAAACTCAGCAACACTTTACTGTAGGGCAGGGATCTCCAAACTGACCTGTGGGCCACATCCAGCCTGCCTTGCCATTTTATTCGGTCTGTTCCCTTCAGTCTGTGTGCATGCACGGGAGGGGCAGGGGGGCATCTGGGCAGGTGGGGTGCATGTGTGCATGCAGGTGGACATCCATGTGGACAGGGGTGTGAGCGGCCAGCCAGCCAGCTGTGTGTATGCGCACATGTGCTTTCCTTTGACCCTCAAAAATGTGGAAAACATACAATGTGGCCCTCACACTCAAAATTTTGGAGATCCCTGCTTTAAGATAAAATGTTTCTGGACTATACCTCTCTTTGTATGGCTATGCTGCCTGAGGAATTCTGGGAGCTGTAGTTCACAGAACAAATATGCACACCTCTACCTTGGAATAAAACCCTCTTGAGCCAACCAGTAAATAATTATTCATGGGTAATAGTGGGACGTGGTGGCGCTGCGGGTTAAACCACAGAAGCCTCTGTGTTGCAAGGTCAGAAGACCAGCAGTCATAAGATTGAATCCACGCGATGGAGTGAGCTCCCGTCGCTTGTCCCGGCTCCTGCCAACCTAGCAGTTCGAAAGTGTGTAAAAATTGCAAGTAGATGAGTAGGTAACACCACGGTGGGAAGGTAACTTTGTTCCGAAGCTAACGGCGTTCCGTGTCTAGACACGCTGGCCACATGACCATGTAAGATTGTCTTTGGACAAACGCTGGCTCAAACGGGCATGAGCATTGTGCCCTAGAGTCACACACAACTGGACTAAATGTCAAAGGGAACCTTTACCTTTATCTAATAATGAATACACCATGAGCTTTCAGAGGTCATGGGGTGCAGGCTTCTGCTCACTTATCTGAAGCTTTGTAACCAGCCTTTGCACACACAAAAAATTGTGTGGGGGATTTTCCCTGCCTCCTCAGCAAACATGCATAAAAAAGCTGTGTAGGTGGTGAGGATCAGCTTTTAAGAGCTTGTTTAAACTTCACAACGAAATGAGGAAAAAGAACAGCTTTTAAAAACACCAACACACTTTTTTCATACTTTCAGACCCATTACCAAAACAAATAGAGAGAAATAAAACTATAAAACAATTCAGGATCCCATCGATGATACAAAAATAGATGGTATTTTATGATTCAACAGTGAATAAACTGCAGAAAGTCACCGATGAATGAGTCATGCTTTCACTTTAACAATTTTTTTTTTTTTTTTGGCCAAATGTGATATAAGACTTATGGATCGTACCCTCAGTGTGATGCACAAGCCTTCTTAAAGTGACTGCGGATGCTCACAAGTGTCATTCTTTTCTGCATTAACACACGAACCCTGTGCTTAAAAGATTCTCAACTTCTAGCATCGGTAATGAACACAGTGGAAATGGATTGGACTCCAATGTATTGTTCTTTATGCAACTTCAAGGTTTTATCTCATCTTGGTTCCTCTGAAGGAAAGCGATGGCCTTCCTTGCAACATTTATTTGACAGCAGCAAGCTTCCCCCAGATGCAGTTCTGATACCTCCTCTAAAACTCTAACCAGCATTTTTAAAAAAACGTTCAAAATCCCTAATGTCCACTAGCTATCCCTCTATATTTTTTTATTTGTTAATTGCATTATTATTACTACTACCACCAGTCCTTTCTTTTGAACTCCATTACCTCAAGGCTAACCAAAAAGCTGTGTTAGATATATAGTGTGCAGCTGAGCCTCACTTCCTTACTGACTCCAAAGGAAGTATAACACTTTAAAGTTCTGTGGGGCTATTTGCTTACTATTGATGAATCTTGCAAACACAACTGCGCAAAAATTGTGAAAATTTTTCACAAAAGACTCTCCCTCTCTCTCTGCAGTTATATAACAGACAACATGAACAATTATAACAACAAAACGTTACAATTTGTGCACCCGAGACTTTGGCAACAGCACCAGTACAGGAGACACTTCCCAGTTGGCGTGAAAGAAGAAACAAAACGATGTTCCACCGACATTGGGCCTCCACCATACATTTTGCAGTAAAAACAACAAAGATGTTCCATTGTATTCTGTGTATTTAATGTAATAAGAATTAGCTCTATTTGGGGATATAGTGCCATTTCTTAGAAATGGAGTGTTTCCAAAACCATTTTTGATGGTCTCTCTCCCTCCCTTCTCCCCCCCCCCTTCTCGCAGGTAACAAGTTCTCTCCCACCTATGCCAGTGCTCTCCTAGGATGTGTCTGGGTTTATGCTCTCATCTTTGCCGTGGCTCCGCTAGCTGACTGGGGCAGTTATGGGCCAGAGCCCTACGGGACAGCTTGCTGCATCAAGTGGAAAGCATCAACTCAAGAAGCCAAGTTCTACATCGTGGCCCTCTTTGTTTTCTGTTACATCATCCCCTGCCTGCTGATCCTCATCTCCTACTCACTCATCCTTTGGACTGTGAAGGTCTCCCAAAGAGCAGTGAAGCAGCACATGTCACCCCGGAAGAAAGCCAACAGTGTCCATAGCCTGATTGTCAAGGTAAACAAACTGTGGGAGTTTTTGCAACCCTGCATGCTGCCTTTAGCAGGTTTGCCTGGAGAGAACATTCTGAGCTGCAATGACTACCAAACTATCCAGTACTAACCAATCGTTCCTTCCCTGTCTTTGAATTAAAAGAGAGCCCCATCTCTCTGCTCAGTGCTCTTTTCCTCTCTTGAGTCTGTTGAAGTTCTTCCCTGTCTTTGAATTAAAAGAGAGCCCTATCTCTCTACTCAGTGCTCTTTTCCTTTCTTGAGTCTGTTGAAGTCTGTTTCTGACAGCAGTCATGTTTGTCTGTATACTGTTTGATCGGTTCAATTGTAAGTAAACAAAATCTTATATTCTTTCACCTATTAATGTCTCAGAGCAAATTACTGAGACTGTAAGTGCCAGTTGATGAGAAAAGGGTGTGGTCTACTCTGGGAAACCTGAGGCTATTCTTCTCTGTGAATCCCTACATTTCTGCTGCATTGCTAGAGGAAATTATCCAAAAATTCAAAACTCTGCAACACAAATTAGAATGGGAAAAGAGGAAAGGTTGGAATGTTGGTGCCATATGTAGGCATCTCTTTGCAACCTCTTTTTTACAGTCTCTAAATTCCCCAATGCTTTTGCAAAAGTATAAAACCCCTGGGTCAATTCTATTGCATGTCATAAGTCATTGTTGATTACTTCTCCTTCCTTTGTGTAACCCATCCAAAGTCTGGATCACTTGGATGTTCCCTGTCAAGCAGAGGGACAAAGTACCTCAAAATGAGAGGCTAAATTGTTAGTCCCAGTCCAGGTTTGAGTTCCTCTTGTTAATCTGACCTGGATCATGTTTTTTGGGGTGGGGGTGGGGGAGAAGGGTAATTAAGCCATCTAGAAATTGGACATTTATGGTTTTGGGTCTCAGCTTCTGGGATTTTCTGAGGAAGTTGACTTTGTCCACAAAAGCTCATTATTAAAATATAGCAGTCTTTAAGGGGCCACAACATTTTTCGTCTTCTTTATTTTTTCTTTTTTTTGTTTTCAAGACTACAACCCTGAAAATCCTGGGAGAGGAAGTTAAAAAAAAAAAGAATCCCAGGTACCAAAGGATTGTACCTGAAAAGCTCAGTGGTAACAAGAAAGCCTTAAGGGGGAAGAAAGGGCCATCTGATATCAGAGTCTCTGCAGCTCAGACCTGAGTGTAAACACTACATATAACACAGGGGAGGGGAAAGGCCAGCCTATAACCCCAGGATCCAAATGTCCCCTGAATCCCCACATGCTAAAAAGAAAAGAAAAAAGTTTGCTCAGAAGGTACTGTAGTGCCCTAGGGTGTAGGAGGCACTTCCCCCAGGTTTTGACCCACATCCAAGCATCCTTGACTCCCTCCCCTGTAAAAACTTTTTTTAAAAAAAAAAAATTAAAAACAACTCTGCCCACTAGAGGGCATGATTAGAACTTTTTGGCTTAAAAACAGGAAACAGTTTGGGGTGGACAGCACATGGGTAGGTACATGGCGTTGCTGTGCCTGGGGTGGGCATGTGCAGCCTTTGGACTGCTAGTAATTGCCTACCCAGGTCAAGCAGGTGTGCAGACTTCCACACACGATTGGGAATGGGGAAGCCGTTTGAGCCACAAAAGTGGGAGGATTTTGGACTGCAAAATTCCCAAAATTCCCCAGCCAACATGAGCAGCCAGGGATTCTGGGAACTGTCATCCAAAAAAGCAACTTACGCAATCTCTGTGACAGCTTGTCATCGGATGACCAATTTCCAAGATAACGTTGCAGCAAAGATAAATGTACCCTCCTGGACTTTCTTCATTTGCAGGAACCAAGGATGAAGGCATCGCCAGCAAAAGAGTATTTATATATATATATAAAGTATCTCCCACACAGATTTCCTGCATGGCGTATCAGGGTCTTGGGGGCGGGTGGGTTAGAAATATGATAGATGGGCTGCAGCAGGCACAGGTAGAATGTAACTGAATTCTATTACCTCAAGATGATTTGCTCACTCACATTGCATGGCTGTCTCTCATGACTTGACAGCTTAATTTAACCGTACGTACGCCTGAGTCTCTGGACTCACCAGCATTTTGTCACTAGGAGGGAGATCAGGAGTGGCTTATCTAAAGGCTAGAGGAACTCTGGGCCTTGCTTATAATCCAAGTGGGTGCACTCCCCAATTAACTGGTTCAGTTAATTAACTCATTAATTATGGTCTAATGCTATTAATAGAGATGCATGCAGACTATAAATTCAAAGCCCCACCATATATGGCTTCTCCTCAAACCTGTTATATTTATTGTGTCTGGACACACAATGATCTCTTGATTGCAAAATAATACTACAGTCATGCTGTTATTTTCCAAAGACTTCTTAGTTTTGATGGCCTCCTGATTTTTAAGGTTAGATTATGAAAAACCAAGTCGATCTCTCGCACATGCCAGCCTGTATGATCCTGCTTCCAAGGAGGTCTGTTTATATATGAACGCCCCATCTGCTTTTTTTAAAAAAATATTCCTGCTATCAGATGGCAGGACTGTAAAAAATTAAATGAAATACCGCCCTGCAGAAAAAGCCTGCCTGCTCACCCCATCACCCACCCACTCATCCCCCTCAGTCACTCGTCCTTCATCCGTCTGGTCACCCCTTTGCCCACCTGATTGTCTCCCACTCTCTGGGGCCCCCTGCCTACCTGATCACCCCTTCACCCACCTGGGTACCCCCCCTTGCTCACTCACTGCCCCTCCACCCACTTGCTTGCTCACCGTTTCGCCCACAAACAAACAAACAAACAAACAAACAAACAAAAGATGACATCTCCTGATGGTAGTTTTTAAATGCACAGAAAAACTTGAGTTTTGTCAGAGTTGGTGACAATAAAAATCATCCCTCTGTGAGCAAAGTAAAGCTGTGGGGAGAATAAAAGATTCATAGAATAATGGACCTGGAAGGGACCTATAAGGCCAACAAGTCCAACCCCTTTCTTAGTGCAGAAATCCAAATCAAAGATCTGAGAGATAGTTGTCCAATTTTCTCTTAAATGTTTCCAGCACTGGAGCACTCACCATCTCTCAAGGTAATTAGTTCCCTTGTCATGCTGCTTTAACAGTTAAGAAGATTTTTTTCTGATATTTCACCTAAATCTGGCTTCCTGTAAATTGAACCCATTATTATGTATCCTGGTAGGATAACTGAGAACAGATTCTACACCTCTTCTGTATGACAGTCTTTCAAGTATTTGAACAGTGCTGTCATATCTACCCCTCAGTCTTCTTTTCTCAAGGCTAAACATGCCCAGTTCTTTCAGGCTTTCCTCATAGGGCTTGGTTTCCTGCCCCCTAATCATCCTTGTTGCCCTCTTCTGAACTTGTCCCAATTTGTCAGCATCCTCCTTGAATTGCAGTGTCCAGAACTTGACACAGTGCTCAAGATGAGGCCTAGCAAGTACCAGATACAGGGGAATTTATACTTCACAGGATTTGGAGACCATACTTCAGTTAATGCAGCCTAAACAGAGTGTTAAGAATGCTCATCAGGATCTAGAACAGTGGTTCTTAACCTTTTTGAAAGAAACACCCCCTTGAGCCATTGAGGAAGTTATCATCGCTCCCCCTCCCCACGATGATGATATCTTATTTATTTATTTATTTATTTATTTATTTA